AAGGATTATGAGGTTTTGTCCTACTATTTTTCCGGAATGATTTTCAAATAATAAGAGAAAGATTATGCTTAATACCTGGTTGAAAGCCTTGTTGTACTCGCTAATGCGGCGTCTTTCCCGTACGTTTGCCGCGACACGTTTTGCCTTGGAGCGGACGATCCGTGGTTTGTTGTTGGGGTGGTCGACTTTACCGTTGTCGGGATCGCCCTCGGGCCTGTCACCGGCAATCTGTCGGATCTTCCTCCGAGCCTGCTGCGACCTGGGCCGAAGGCCGTAGCTGCCGGCGCCCCCGGATTCTTCCTCGTCGGCGTCGCTCACGTTGCCAGACACCGATGACATGTCCTGGTCACTGTCGGAAGCGTCTAGGCCGTCCAAGATATCGTAGTCTTCCCTGTCTGCCATAGCTCTCAGAAAACTGGAAACTTTATCCTACTAGATATTGTCTTTTCTACGTCGAAATGCAACGAACGGCCAAGTTCTGCGTCTTCCAGTAGAGCTCTTTTTTTAAGTCAACCTGGTGCCTTTTTGAACGATTCAAACAGCGAAATTTGTCAATTTTCTCCTCAGAATTGAGTGGGAATGTCAACAATCAGTCGTTTACCTATGAGTCAGGCGATTCTCAGGAAAAAGTGACTCAAAAGTACAAACCGTACCGTCCCACGCAGTAGTTTCATGGGCTGTGAGACTCCCGTAGTAAAACATGTACTATTTGTACCTGTCTTCTCCTGAAACGTGCTACCTGTTGATCAGGTTATGGTATTACACGCGCTTGGCCAATCACAGACAAGAACCCAACCGTACTACGGACCAATCAGAGGCGCGTATCTGTACGTGCTGGGGACCAAAGGCTAGACATGGGCCTGTATCAGTGTGTTTTACTCAACTTAATATGTCTTGATTGATATCCTATTGTGGATATGACTAAAACTGAATGTTCCCACGAAGTATCGTCATGCACTGATGAGCACCACGACAAAAAATATCTTAATTACATTTAAGCAATTTGAGACAAAAGCGTCAAGATTTGTTTTAAGAAAATGTGTCATATCTCTGGATAGGTTGCTGTTTAGAAAATTGTTGTTTATTTAAAAAATCTTTACTTGATATTTGTTAGAAATATGTTCATTTGACCGTCCATTGCCCTAATTTGAAGAACACAAATTTCAACATAAAATGTGAGATATGTAAGTATATAACTTCTATAAATATATATGAATTTAAAGACAGGGGTTTCTTTAGGCTTCTTATTTCACCCAAAAGTAGTCTAAGATTTTCTCTCTCTATGTGTCAGCTGTAACAGTTTTCAGAAAAAGCGGCGAATAAAAGAGAAAAAATAAACTACGTCAAAAGGAGGAAATTTTACGCTCGATCAAACATAACCTGGAGGACCGTGAGAGATATGGGAATATCAAAGTGTGGGAAAATCAGAACGTACGGATTTTTTTCGTACGTGGGAAAACGGTTAGGCCACAGCAAGTAAATTTTATGGATGACATCCTCCGCGGACTACAAGTCTAATGCGAGCGGGCGAAAAAAACAAGGCGGGATGAAAAAAAAACAAGGTTCCTACATTTTAAAACTTTGACTCAATCATTGTACAAATGGTTTTGATTCAGTAGGAACATCACATATATACAGCCAGCATCACATATCACTGCATCAGAGTAAGAAACAAAACATTAAATCAGAGCCTTTTCTTGTCTTGTCTCGTCTCTTCATAGGTATCTGCCATCCACCTTTCGGCATGGTAACAGACATCTTTGCCCATTTTCGGCATGGTGACCACTGTCAGAAGGCAACAAAATTTCTTGTTTTTTTTCCAAATCAGGCAAAAGTCAATGCGCGCGCTGATGTCATCCATAAAAATTACTTGCTGTGGCCTTAGCGTTGGCGTTGTGTTGCCACAGTGTGTAAGGGTTTTTTTTTGGGGGGGGGGGTAATTTGTGACAATTGGCTCAATTAGGCTCTCGAAATGCCTCTGGACTTTTAAAGTGATTATCCAACCGAGATCATCTCAACAGATAGCGGCTCCCCAAAGACGACTAACACTTTGAGGTTTCCACCGCTGTATCTGTATGATATTTCAGAAGATATAGGCGTTATATGCCCCGAGAGGTGTTAGTTTTGCCTAGTATCTTCAGACATTGTTTCAATGGATTTTAGTTGTGAGACCAAGTTTTTGGTTCTGAATTCAGAAACTGCTCATCATTTAATTGTGATTGTCAACGTTATTGTTATAAGTCTGAAATAAAAATTACATAGACTTTTGTGTTACTTGCTTTGAAGTTTGTTAAAGGCAACGCTTTGTGGTAGAATATGGTGCTTTGTAGTAGAATATTGTGGTACAATAAGATACTAGGGTTTACAATGGGGATAAGGAAAATATAATAGAGTTCAAAGGTGGTAGACGTAGTCTGTTTTCAGTGGAACCATACTATATTTCAAATGACAGCCGGTGTGTAATTGTATACACAGGGAAATCTTGATAATGAAATATGTTCACACTGTGTATGGAGAGACACAAGCAAAATACCGTTGTTATAAAGACATATTCATATTCAATACTTTGACATTCTATATTCTAATGTATAGCAATATTTCACGTATTTAAAACACACATTTTATATAGAATATCTTTCAGTGTTTTTCCCCTGTAGCAAATTAAAAGACAAGGTTTTACCGTTAACGTTACAAATGTTCTTTATTCAAAATGTTACTAGGACAAAAAAACATGAACAAAACATATCAAGACCTTAAACTACTTAAAATAACATCATCAATGACAACCACATGTCACTTGTATTTTCTCACTTTTTACCGTGGGAAAACTTTCTTTCGGTGCAATTTTCAAGGGAGGAATGAAAATTGGTCTCTTTTTCTTTGAAATGTTACAAATCGTTCCATTTCTTCAGTGCTAAAGCGCCCAGACGACATTTCCAGTTGCCCAGATGTTTTTGATGTCAGTTGTGGAAGCGGCCACCTCGTGGTTTCTATAGTAGCAGTGAGAAAAATGGACATTGTGGTTGAGTCTTTTTCTGTCGTCCCACGGCCCTGTTTTAAAACAGGTGGTTCCAGCTTTGCAGTGACAAGAGTTGTTACATGTTTGTAGAACCAATCACATCAATCCAAACATCAACTCGGACCAATCACATCGATTCATTTAATTAACGGTCCCGTCGTAAAACATATTTACACAAACTTTGAGTAGTATATTTACAATTATGTTATGTACAACGTTGTATTAAATTCTTTATCTGATGTCTCTAGTTTGACCTTATGTTTATGTTTATGTTTATGCTTATGCTTATGTTTATGTTTATGTTTATGTTTATGTTTATGTTTATGTTTATGTTTATGTTTATGTTTGTGTTTATGTTTATGTTTATGTTTATGTTTATGTTTATGTTTATGTTCTGGTGTCCTATCAGCCCATATGGGATGGGCGACACGAAAATAAATATATTCATTCATAATTATTTTGAGAACTGAGACTATTCTGATGATGTACCTTAACACTGTGAAATCTTATGTATGCTCGCCCCGATTGTCTCCAACTTGTTTGAGATAAAGACATGTTTACCCCGGATCAACTGGCACACTCCATCTCGAGATAAGGCCATGTTGATTTGATTATATGGATGGCATTCTCTGGGAACCCCAAAACTGATGCGAGCGTGCGAATAAAAAAAGTTTGGCCAAAAAAAAGTTGCTTTCATTATGAAATCTACGTGGTCATGAAGGTTGAACAAATGACACAGAGTATTGTTTACCTTTTCGTCTTTTTCGTTTGATTTTGACATTCTACGACATTGGTATCGTTTTCCAATGTTTTTTTTTTAAACCTATGGTATATATTTACTCATTTTGCAACGATTTACAGTATGGTTGAAAACGTTTTTTTGGAAACGGCCGAAAATTCATGCGCGCGCGGATGTCATCCATATAATCAAATCAACATGGCCTAAGGAAGTCGTTTTCAAGAAAGAAGGAAATATTTAGCCACTGGGAAATGATTATGATTAAATAGGTGTAATGAAGGGAGGTTCCTTTGTTAGTGAGCTCCTCTCTAAAGTTCCTGAAGAAACAGGTTAATTAGAGGAACAATGGCCTGGATATCAGGCAGCCTGAGGGCCTTCGAGTTGTCGTCATCGTATCATATATATCATCTGTGATCCTAGACTATCGTCTGATAGAAACAAAAAAAAAATCAAAAACAAGGATGAGAATGAATTTTTGAAGAAACAAACAAACAAACAAACAAACAAACAAACAAACAAACAAACAAACAAACAAACAAACAAACAAACAAACAAACAAACAAACAGGCCTCTAAGTTTTGTCATATCAAGAAGCAGGACAGTAAACAATTTGTTTGTTATTGTGACAAGGTCTACGGTATTTTTGTTTTGATTTATGTGCAACCAAGGAGCTTCAATCGTAATTGAGTCATTCCCAACACATCTATGAACGAATGAAAGACCTTGATTTTACGTTTATACCCTTACAAGCTAAGGGTATGAATAAATCAGAATTAAGTGTGTAAACTACTTTGTACAAGTTCAACCTCTTCTCGCTTCTTGAGTACATGGTTTGTTTAGTTGTATATTGCATTCTACTTTTCTGTTTAATCTAGATGTCGAAAACTGGAAACTCATCTTGTATAGAATTAATTAAGTTTGCAAGAGCTGGTCCCTTGGGACTGACTCGTAATTCACATATCGATTTATTTGGCAGCATCGTTGATTATATTCAATTCTTCCGGTTGGTTTTATGTTTTGTTTTTCTTCATTCAGTGAGCAGAGAACACGACTGTTTGTACTTAATGTTTGAAGAATCGACATGATATACCTCGTCTGTGGCACGTTCAACTATCGCGAGAATTCACGGGAAGACGAGATTGCAAGGAGTGAATGAAAAGCTTTGATATAAAACATTTTCGACACCTCGCAAATATGACAAAAGAGGCTCGGCAGGTAAAATATATCTACATGTAGTAATTCAGGCTGAAAACTGCCCTTCACGAGGCTCGTTGTGATAACTCCGGTCTAGAGCGCTCGTTGGCGCTGCTATCTCTTGTGAAAATCTTCTAGGGCGCGCCAGCTATCCAAAATCTCTCAGATAACAGATAAAAACTGGTCCCTAATGATCTCGTATTTACGCCAGTATGCATGTCAAGGCGTTATCTTCCCTAAAAGACTGAGAATTTTCTCGGGAACACGTCTAATTTCAAGTGGGAAAATCTTCACCACACAAAAAGAACCAAACCGAGCACACAGATTCACTTAGAAACTACCATCTAACAGAACCATTTTAGTAAAGATAACTGTACATGTAAATGTGATGCTAAAAAGTCAATCAATCATCATTTAGAGCACTAGTTGACTGAGATTGAGTGTTTGTGGTAATGTTTTTCGTGTATC